TTTGGAACATAAGACTGCTGTAAAGAAGCTGCTTGGGTCTGGTGGTGAATTGGTTTTCCCATTTCTTGCGGTGAGGGTGTATGACCAAGAGGTGTCGTGGTTGGAGCTTGTCCCTGAGATTGTTGCTGTTGGACCCCGGTTGTGGGAGGTTGATTAGACTGTTGCTGACCACCACTAGGTCCACTACCCGACTGTATTCCTTGGCTCGATTGACCTATAGACTGAATTCCAATAGAAGGTGGTCCTCTACCACCTGATACTCCTATACTACCACCACCACCTCCCACCTGCCCCCCTGGCTGGGCGCCGTAATTTTGTCCGGGTACATGAAAATCTGAACCTGCAAATAAATAAATAAATATATTAAAATTTTTTTTTTTTAAAAACTATTTTCATTTTACGAATATTACTAAATAAATATAACTGTGTAAATTTTTTTTTTTTTTTTTTTTTTTTTTTTTATATTGTGTTATTTATATGTACAAGTAAATTATATATGACTAGACTCGGAGTAATGAAATGGGATATTTCATTTATTTCTTACGAGGATTGCTCGCGACAATTCGGTATTGCGGAGACTGTTGCCCTGGATGATGATGATGATGGTGATGATGATGTTGCTGCTGCTGTTGTTGTTGTTGTTGTTGTTGTTGTTGTTGTTGCTGTTGTTGCTGCTGCTGCTGCTGCTGCTGCTGTTGCTGTTGGACAAGATTCATTTGTCGCAAATGATGTTGTGGACTTAGCGATTGTGGTGGTGGTACAGGTGGCGGATGATTATGCGGATGAATGTGATTGTGATTAGAATTATTTTGAGGATGCGTTGCAAAATGTGTGGGACCACCACAGTGAGGTAGAAGACAGTGCATCGGCCCGATACCAACGGCAACTCCGACAGCACCATCCTTGGTAACTCCGTACCTTGATACCATTCTTGCGAAATAATAATTTTTTTTCTCAATTTTGACTTTTTTTCAAATACTTTTTATCTCAAATTTTAATTTCACGTCTTCTTAATTTATATTAATTAATGCCGAATATTTAATTTTTATTTTTTTATAAATTTGCATTTTTAGGCTCTCGCACATTTTTTTTTTTTTTTTTTTTCCCCCCCCCAATGTAAATTTATTTAAATAATTAATTAGATTTTTTGGCTACTATTTTAATTAGTGAATTATTTCACAACACTTTTGTATTTTAAATATTATCGACATTTTTAATTGATGAGAAATCGTAGCCAGCCACTCTGGCCAGCAAATATCGATCGACTCAGCCGTCGTCAAATAATTCCTATTTATTTTCATCACACTAATTTTCACTCGATAACAAACTGACAGTCTATCAAGTAAATAGATTATAAAATTATAAAATAATTATTATTTATCATAGAATTAACAAACATTGTTAAATTTAAAATATTTAAAAAATCAATATTATCATAGATTTTGTTTCGTAAAATATTTCATGAAAATAATTCCCAAATTAAATTATAAACTTAGCCATTTGCAATTTTCATATGTATATATAAATATTCCCACCAGCATTATCGATTGTTTAGTAATATTTTTCAATAAATCTTTAGCCTGTGTTTATGTGATTGCAAAAAAATTTATTTCACTGAGTTTATATATCACATGCACACCCCGACCTAGGCCCTTTTCGACCTATTTAATACCAGTGAATTATTTTCACAAGCTTAATATCTCAGTTCGGTATTTAACTTCCGTCAATCACATGTCTTTTGCATTTTTTTCTATCCGATTTATTTAATTATTGCACTCCATTTTATTACCGAGTTATCTATCAGTTATTTAATTCCAAACAAACGTATAAACACACTTGACAAGTAAAATAGTACTCAAGGTAGATATAATGCAAAATGGCACACTGTACATACACTTTGAAATATGACCAAGTGATAGTCGCCACAGGATAAGAGCTAAACTAAAGGCGCCGCTCCATCAGTCGACAAAATATTCCTCAATCAAGGAGTTAGTTCAATTGGCGGTTTTTACCTCTAAAATTATTTTAATACTCACTTCTTAAATTATTTTCAAAAATAATTATTAATCTGTAAATTTTTTGCAATTTTATAAACTTTCAGAATTTATTTACTCCAAAAACCAGCAGCGGAAATTAAAATTTAAAATTTCCACCATTTTGATTTGAGTTGGTACACAAAAGCACGACATTCGTACCGCCATATGTCAGTTTATCCCTTCCTATTCTTCCATCACCAACGCCATAATCACCACCATCTTTCTACTCCGCTTTCTTCTCAAGCCAGCAGGGTGCGCGCGCATGTATGATACATACGCTCATGTAAGTATTTATAGGTATGGGAGTCATACAGAAGATTTGGTATATTATATACATCTTTCTTAATCCCTCTAGCATGAAGCTCACGTTGTCTGATCCTGTACAATGGTAATCCACCATCCACCACAAATGAATAGACAGCCGCGGTTGTCGCATGTGTCTTACTTGAGTCTGCTGCTGTGGTACTGCTGCTATTCAGTACCGGCGGACTTACGTCAGAGTCCCTTCACTTTTACTCTTCATCACATAATTTTATTTTCTATCATCATCATCCTTCAGGTATGTCTTCTTTTTTAATTATTTCTTCGCTTAATTTTATTTATTTGTTACTTCTTAAGTTTTGCCTGTTAAAAAAATTTTTTTCTTCTACAAAATTTTAACAACTGTAATTTTAAACAAAAAAGAAAATTTTGTCATACAAGCATGCGCAATGACACTTAATTTGAGTTTAACGTATCACGTTTTTCTATTACATTATAAACTTTCTCTTTACAATGTCCTTCAGTATGATTTACCAATTTTTGTTGTAAAAATATAAAAAAAAAATTTAATATAACTCTAAAATTTTTCTTCTCAAGTTAAACAAGTATTAAAAAGAATTAAAATTGAGTAATTAGATAAATAATCAATAGAATTCATTTAAATTATAATTAACAGTAAGAAGATATGGTTGAGTGATTTAAACTTTAATTATTGTTGTAAACTTTTTATAAAAATTTAAAAAGTATGTAAAAGCAATTGTTACCAAGAATTAAATTTATTACAAAGAAAAATTTTTAATTATGAAAATAATTTTTTTTTCTATTTTTCAGATTATTGATGTTACTTACTATTGACGTACAATCTACTTGAGATCAAATTATTGTGAATCGATGACAACAGATGTACCTTAATCTAAAGAGTATTCTCATCCCTAGTCTATCATTTATTCTAATTGTCTGTTTAGTAGTTTACTTCTTTTTGGCAACTGTTCATAATCTTCTGCGAATGACTATTATGTGTCAGATTAATTATTACAAGTAATTTCAGGTGTAATTAACAACAAAAAAAATAACAGAAGAGCGTGATAAAGAAGAAATGAAACAAAAAGGAAGAAATGTCAATTTGAGAATTTTGAAGATTTTAATGAAGAGAAGAAAAAAATAATTTGTGGTAATTTTTGTGTCATCTACGATCAGATGATAAATTTTTATAACTTTGTCTTATTATATAAGAATAATAACAATCATGGCAGTGTTACCTAATATTGAGTATTATCCAATAGTAAAAGGAGTTTGTAAATGTATAATATAGGTCATGAGAAATAATTACTTTAAATAATAATTTTAACATGTAAAAAGTGTAACATACTTTTAATATTTAACATGCAAATACGCTTGCATCTATAATTTTGTATTTTAAAAATATTTATTTTTTAAAAAATGTTTTTCTAAAAAAAAATAAAATTTAATTGTTGCAAAATTAGTGATTTATAAATCAAGATTTAATTTATAACAATACGAGTTTTAATCAGTAAATGTCACGTTTCAGAATGTTAACAACGAAGATAGCAAACAAAAAAATATAAACTAACAACAGATTGTTACTTTAAGGCGCGTGGGCCTTCAAACCAGAAATTCCTTCTACAATCATGCCTGAAAACATTGTCTTCGGTATTTAGGAGCGACATCTACGTGAAATACCGATGAGAATTGAAAGTTAAGAATTTTTTTCAATCCAAGGAATCATAAAAATAAATTCATCATTCGACCGATGACGAAAATAATATACACACATATGTAAACAAAAATACATGAATAAAAAAGCCGTATCAGGAGATAGAAGATATTCTGAATTATGTTGAGATGTGTTATCTCAATTCCGAGAAAACTTATCAGCGGTTCACGATTTTTTGGACCGACTATGGAGCCTAAATATCAATTACACAGCAACTTTCTATTTGAATAATAAATAAAAGAAAAAATAATGAATAATAATCAATCAACAATCAGTAAGAAGATTAAAAAGCATAGTATTTAAAATTAAAGAGATAACTAAGCAATTACAGCTGGTTAACCGATTAAAGTATTAACATATTGTGCAGTTACTCACCTATGCCAGCGGACATACTAGTTGTGAGTTATAATAATAATAATAACTAATAATAACAACTAGATAATATGCATACGCGATACCGATACGTGTTTAAAAAAGCCAAGACCAAGTAAAAAATCAAACTCGCCCAGTCCAGGGGTAATCTAGGACGTATATTTAAATTGTTATCAATTTAAGATACCATTCATCATTATTATTATTATTATTTTTTACTCTTTTTAGCTTCTGCTGTATTGTTGTTATTATTATTATTATTATTATTAATATTGTATTGTATTACAATAATTCAAATGAATTTTGTTTATTATTATAATTTTTAGGATCAACCAGAGTTTCACAATTCACAAGAGTGCGCGCAACGATCCCACACGACAAGCACGTGCTCCACTCGCGCACTCGTGGAAAATTTATTTATGTTATGTTAAACAACAGTACTTGGGTTGACCTTTGTCAACATAAAATTAAAAAAAATAATTATGATAATTACTTTAAACAAAATTGCTTAATCGAGTTTAAACTTAAGATACTTCCACACAATACACATTAACAATTCACGTTTAACTGTTTGAATTATATAACCTCACTTTGTCATGGATGCGTGGTCAGTAGACGAGAGTGACAAGAAGGCCGCCGATACAGTCGGCAGACTACCGTACTGTAAGTACAAGTTAATATGGACAAGTATACACATTCATCTAAATATACCTATATATACTCGGCATTGTACATTGAGAAAAAAAAAAAATAAATAAAAATATATATTTTCTCAATCGGTACAGCAGACTCAAGCCAAGATCTTTTTCTGTCGACTATAAACTATCTTTTACTTACATACATAATATAATTGCACATATATACATATAAAACTACTGTACACTGTCTTTACTTCTCATTTAGTGCCGTCGCAAGATCGAGTTCCCGTGAATCAGTCAAAAGAAGATAGACATATGTGATAGATTGCAAGAAGAAAGAACAAGAGAGAAGAAAAGAGAAGGATGAAAGCATTTGTCCCTCAACACGTTGTTAAATCATTTATAAAAAAATTTTTTTATCCATCGCATAAATCATACAAACATTTATTATTAATTTTTTTAAGCTACTATTTTTCAATGTTTTTTTTTTTTAATAATAATAATTCCAAAGAAGTAGGATGATAAAATACAGCTATTTAATTTTTAACACTTGAACATATGCTTTTGCTAAAATTATGTTAGCCGAACGCTGTGCCAAAGGCTAATTATTTTTATGTAATACTATTTTTTTATTTTCAATGTAACAAATTATTTATTTACAATATCAAAAATTAGAAACAAAATTTATTAATAATTAAAAAGCGACTACTGATTTAAATTTTTGATAAAAAAAATTGCAATTAATAATTAAAGTTATGACAGTTGCGATGGATTATTATAAAAAAGAAAATGTATTAATAAGTAATTACTGACGTTTAAATGTTAATTACTAATCAATTTTAAATTATATGCACACTGTACATATGTTAGTGTAAATGTAAATATATATATATATATATTGATATAGATATTGCAAAGTAATATGGGTAAAATAGACTCACAGTTAAACAAGCACGCTTGACAATAGTCGTGTGAAATTACAACGTGTGTGACGTGTGGCTTGATTGCCACATGTACACTGACTACACTCCGATAAGTACTTAGACGATCAAGAAGAAGGTCTACAGGTATTCGGACGGATTCGATGTACTTCGGGTCTATACGCGTACTACTGTTACTCTCGAGTTCGTCATTTAGTCATTCACTTTTTTATTCATTTTTTATTTTATTACTAATATTTCTTCTCAAAAGCATCCAAATTTTTATTATCAAGCTACATGAAACTCTCGGATAATTTAGGGCAATTAAAATAGTCTTGGAGGTAAAAAAAACTCCTAAAAAAATAAAAATAAATTTTATAGACTGTAAAATAATAGTTGCGCTGAATAATACATTTTGTTGTGAATAAATCACTATTGTAATTAGGATGAAATGCAATTTATTAAAAGCTACATGCTAACAGCAGGTGGAAAAGATTTCACCACGCGGTTTAGCCAACGTAACCTCGAAAATTTTCAATCTTTAAATTATTAAATCATGCTCCAATTTTCTCGAAATTATTTATAAAATAATCCGTCATATGTTTCAATAACCTGTCATTTTTTTATTTCTTCTTTTAATATATAAAACTGACATGTAACTGAGATTGATATAATACAATATGGAGCAGACAAAATATAAATTAATCCTCATTAATTTGATTTTAGTACCTTTAAAAACTATGATTTCTAAAATGAAATATGAGTATGCATAAATAAGTTTTTATCGCGAATGAAAGATGACGTTTAATTATATTTATTGTAGTAATTATATAAATAATAAGAGAAAGCAATGTAATAAAAAAAAAAAAAGTTTTAGCTCTTTAAATATATAGACACAACGTACTTGGTAATCTACATCAGAACTTGTTGATTACAGTCCAGTTTCATGAGCCCCAATTAACCTGTAATCGATGTCAAATCAACAAAATCGACTACCAAAATTACATAGTTGCTGTAACTATGGTTACGGCTGGTTCTATAATAATATAATCCCATAAAACTGGTCCAAGTATTTTATTTTTCTATAGGAGAAAAAATATATCCATCCTTCCTCCAAAATTAATAACTAAAAATCTGGCTACTTTTTTTGACTCGGATAAATTTGAAGAAAAAAAAGCTAGCGAATTTGTGAAATTTTAATGATACTAAAGTTAGCCGACGTTTTTAATTTTTTTTTTAATAATTAAATTAGAACAAAAAAATATTTTTTTAAAATTGCACTTACAGTTTTTCAAGTTTTTAACAATTGACAATTTTTTTTCTAGTCATTTTTTTAATAAAAAAATGTTTTTTAATTTTTAAATGTCGGCTAACTTAATTTTCATGATATCTTATAACCTAGAAACCTACAAAACTATGGAATGTAAATGATCTAATGATGAATGACTTACCGGCATGTGAAACGTATGCCCTCGGCGTGGCAACAACCGTGTTGTAAGCCTGGGGATTACCAGATATCCCAGACTGATTGACATTAACAAGATGTTGCTGCTGTTGAGGTGGCTGCTGTTTCTGCTGCTGCTGCTGCTGTTGCTGTTGCTGTTGCTGTTGCTGATGTTGTTGTTGCTGTTGCTGTTGCTGTTGTTGCTGCTGCTGCTGCTGCTGTTGTTGCTGCTGCTGCTGCTGCTGATGGTGGTGGTGGGACAAGTGGTGGTGCTTCCCCTTGGCAGGCATGCTGCTTACCGCAAGCTTAATCTGCCCTTCGAGCTGTCCTCTACGTGCAAACCTTTACTCTTGCCGTCTGCTTCGGTCCACATATAGAGACTTAAATAATCTTTTTTGTTTTTCACAGTGACCAACCCCAATTATATGCGACTGACGTTACTAATTAAATACGTAACACTACCGTTCACTGGTATACACGTCCGCAATTTGGGTTTTCACGCGTATTCCATACAATAGTATGAACCATAAAGTAACTAAAATAAAAATAATAAAACAATTATTTTTAAAGATATTTCTTATAACTTTATCAGTTATGATGATTATAGTAGCAGTTATAATAATAATAATAATAATTATTATTATTATTATTATTATTATTATTATAAGAATAAGAATAAGAATAATAATAACCAACTCCCACTTTCATTGAAAATTTAGAACACAGCCGAATTTTCTGGTTCAAGCCAGGACATTGGTTAAAAAAATCTAGATTTATTATTTATTAATGGATGGCTTATCCAAAAGTTAATTGCATGTGTCGTGATATTTTGTGCCAGCAGACATTATACGTTAACTGACCATGCCAATCACTCTTAACTTCTTACTTGGTTTATATTCGAGTCTTGTTAAACTAAAAAAAAAGTTACTGCACACTTTTGGCTAATTAGCCTATTAGTGTACTCGCTAACACCAATAAAAGTTACACTAGATTTATATTAATATTGTATAAATGTTAAATAATATTGTATATTTACCAATATAAACTTATAAAATCTTACTCGTTTCTATTGTAGCGATAGAAAAGAATGAAATACGTGCGAACTAAAACGTAGACGCATGGAATATTTAACTGTAGCATGAATTGTAACGGACAGAGTGACGACTTTTGTGGTGAGATCATGCCGTACCAGTCTACAGGATGTGTATGGATAATTTTCATGCTGCTACTAACGCTCAGTATATTTATATATACTAAATATATATATATATATATATATACAATAGTTTGCCGGTAAATCCGATTCAGCAGCACACGCGCTTACTCTACAGTTTGGTTAGGTAACGTGTTACCAACTGTCAAAAAAAAAAAATTAAGAAAAATAATATTTTTTTCTATCAAGAGAATTTTTTGCTCCAAAAATAAACTCAAAATAAAATTTTTATGTAAGTATTTTATTTATTTAGAAGAAATATATTTATTTTTTTAGTAATTTATTTATTTATTGAATTTCTATACTTGTAAATTTTATTTATTGATAAGATTTTATTTTTAGATACTAATAAAATTAAGAAAAAAAAATGAGTCACGGTAAAGATGAAACAATTGGATTAAGAAAAAATTTAGAAGATCAATTAGAGCGATTGGTTCAGCAGTTAGAAGATTTAGAAGAATGTCGGTGAGTATTTAATTATTATGAAAATTAATTTAGCAGATATTTGATCATTTTAATAATTTTTTTAACAAATAAAATTAAAAAATGATCAAGTGACTGCTAACTTTAATGTCATTAAATTATTAAAAAAGAAAATAAATGTATTATTTATACTGATTGAATCTATTATTTTATAGAGAGGATCTGGAACCGTCAGAGTATGAAGAAACTAAAAATGACACCATCGAGCAGCTAAAAGAATTGAATGCGAGTCTCAGAAGAATAATATCAGGAGACATAACTCTAGTTGATCAGCTGGGTGCGATGCAACTGGCAACTCAAGCAGCAATTAGCGCAGCCTTTAAAACACCGGCTGTAATAAGGATGTTTGGGAAAAAAGAGCCAAAGTTATTGAGAGAACGGCTGTCATTAATTGAACGGGACGCTAAACTTGGTAAATTGAGTAAAGAAGCCAGTGACAGACAGAGAGTCGAAGTATTGACGGCATTGAAGCACTTGGGTGAAACGTTAAGTCAATCTGAATTGGAATTAATACAGAGGCTTACTCTTGATAATATTGACACGACAGATTTTATTCAAGTATCTGATTACAAGGAAAAAAGTCAAGTAGCTCGAGCAATAGTTAGTCAAGAAGTTAAAGATAATAAAAAAGATTGAATTTTATTCGTTTATTTATTTATTTATTTATTTATTTATTGTTATTAAATTTATTTTACATAGTAGTTATAACAAATAACATTGTTATTTATCTATTTTATTATACTTTTTTTTATAAGTATTATACTCATACTTTTTGATACGATAAATCAACGAAAAAACTGTCAAAAATCAAAGTAATTCTTATTGAAAAGATTATCTCAGTATGTTTATTATAATACCATACAAGTACGCGCACTTTTATTCTATATATAATAATTACTGATATTTATTTTACTAAAATATCTATAAAAAAAAAAGAACATTGCATTTGATTTAAGTTTTTTAGAAAAAAAAAAAACATGAAAAAATTTGGCTGCTTTAAAAGTAACGAAACAAATGGTGCAATTTATTTTTTACATGCGACACTTTTTTCGAGTACTATAATTATTGAATAAATATATCATTTTTTTGGATTATTTAAATCGTTAACAAAGAATAAAAAAAAAATATTTATAATAATTAATTGAAACTACCCTGTGTACCGATTGCACTAAAAAAAAAAAAAACTAATTGATATCGCAAACAATCGACACAAGAATAAAATAAAATTGCACTCATTGGGCGTATGCTAATATTACAAAAAGAATAACAATACAAATAATTATAATATAATTGTTATCTTAAAAATGGAACTTAACTTCTCACAGATATATTTCTCTTAGTACTTAACAGTTTTTCTATTTTTAAATAATCAATTAACACCTTTCTTTATAATAACGAGATATAATATGAGATAATTCTGCATTTTTAATTTTATTTAATTAATTAATACATTGCTAATGCATTATTTTTTTTTTTTTTGCTAACTTTTGATTCAAGCAAATGCTTTTACAATCTGTAGCATAAAGAAACGCTACTATATGCTCTATGATAATTATTTTAATAAATTCAAGTCAATATTAATATTATCAATTAATGAAAAAGTAAATAGTATTTTTTAAAAAATGGAATTTCATTTTAAAAAAAGTTTTTTATGGAAAAACTTTTATAAATTTCAATATTTAACTATTAAGTTTTAGTTAAAAATGTTAAAACTAGATTAACATTAAATATATTTGTAATTCATAGTAATAATAATCATAATTTCTTTAGTCTATTAAGCATATTTGATAATATATCAGTTATTAAATACATATATTATATGTATGATGTTTAATAATATTAATCGAAACTCTGAACAAAAAAAAAAAATAAAACAATAATAAAAAATGAATTTTATCAGACTAGCTGAATTGTCTACGGTAAACCTTTTTTGATAATTTTTTTTTAAAATAATAATTCATATCTAGTACTGGATATATGACTAAAAAAACTGACGGCCCAGTTTTTTTATATTAGTCGTATTAGCTTGACAGTAGCTTAGCTAACGTTTACGCCGACAGACACGTTTGTGCTCTCGTTGCCAATGAACTTGCTGGCAATCAGTACTGCAATAAGCTGTATTCCAACAGCAATGGTAAATAGCTTCAGCTTCGCAATTGTAACACTGTAACATCATGAATCATTGATTAAGCATTCGATTAAATATAATATTAAATAGGCTCGCCAAGTCTGAGAGCAATTGTAATTAATTGTACGTCATTGATAAATTGTTTCACACAGTAACTATTAATTAAAAAAAAAAAATAATGGTAATTATTTACAAGTAGGGTCAAACCTATTTTTGGCCATATCTAGGTGAAAAATTAACAATTTTTTATTTTGCTTGTTTTTACGGTGGATTTATGGTGGTGATATCGAAAATATTAAAAAATTATTATTTCGATAGTTTTTTGTTCAAAAGTTGGAAAAAATTTTGGGTCTCATGTTTTTGAATAAAATTTCTATTTTATCTTTTAGACTGCCCAAAAACATGACCGTGGTGTCATTAATATAAGCATCGCATGTTTCAACCGTGCTTAGAATTCCCAATAGCGGATAGAGTACTACTGGTATCATTCCTGTTATTGGCAATGGCAAGCTTTCAGTGACCCAGTACATGGCCATTATCGCAATTACATATAAACATTTATACATTCGCTCATTGTTTATTATTATCAAGGGTAATAGAATCAATGGCCAAATGATTAAGACGAATGTCTTCCAGTAAATGCAAACAAATCTTCCAAGCAGCTTGCCGCAGCCATCTTTCTTCCTGAAATACAAAATAAAATTTATTTAAATAAATAAAATTATTCTGCAATTTAAATAAGTGGCCCGCCTAACAATTTTAATATTAGCTTTATAAAGTTAATATTTATTCACTGATTAATTAGGTTTATTCACTTACTCTTTAGGATCATCTTCGACTTTTACAACAATTTCGTCTGCTTGAGTAACCATCTCTTATAATCTCTTGTTAACTCTCTTTAATTTTTTAATCTTCAGCCTTATTATATGTTACTGAAATAAAATAAATTATTATTATTATTATTATTCTTTAAAAAATAATTTTTGTAATTATGTTTTTTATAATTCAGGTGTTATTACTCCGGCCGAGTAACTCGTAAAAAAAAAATAATAAAATTTTTCTAATCATATCTAAATGTATACAGCTTAGTGTTAGATAACATTGTTAGAATATTTAAAATAATATTTAATAATTTTTAGTTATTTTTCATCACACATTTAAGTAACTAGAATTTAATTTAAACCTCGCACTACATTGACAAGACTATGTGCAGCTGCCGTTTTAGTCTGCCATAGCTTCAATTGACACGCTAACCCTCTACATTAACGAGCATTTTTCACCATTGTTCACTTTTTTTTTATAATTTTACATAGCTTAGCTCACTTTTCAAGTACTGCAGCACTTTATATCTTCATCGCTGTCCTGAAGATAAATTATATTTTTAATTTCAAAATTTTCGACACTAATCTCTACTAAGTTACTCCAAAAACTCTCAAAAATTCTACTAAAAATTTTTAAATTAATAATAATAATAATAATAATAATAATAATAATAATAATTACTCACCTTCATGTTCAAAAATTTGTAAATTTTTTTTTTTTTCAAACAAAATATTTTATCCGAGTCACAATTGCGTTTAAAAAGAAGACATAAACAGCGACCACGTGGTTTTTCAGGAAAATACTTACCGTATCACAAATTCATTAAATTTTAAAATAATTTACAGAAAAAAATTATTTTTTATCTATCTAAAAGACTTTTTTTTTAATTTCAAACTTGAGTTTTATAAAAAATAATTTTTTAATTAAATAATTTATAACAAAACATTTTTTAAAAATAAAATTTTAATTGAATAAATAAAGATATTAAATTCCAGAGTTGGAGTAAAATAAAAGATGTGACAATCCGAGCGGTAGAAGAATCAGCAAGAACTGTGTGGACCCTCGCGTTGGGTTCTGGTTATGGACTGCAATGGGTTGTGTAGTGTGTTGCTGTAACTTATCCCCCTTCCCTTATCACCCTATTCATTGTCATGGGTTTTTCGTCGTACTTCTTTCAGCAAGTTCAGAAGCGCTGCTGTGACGTTGTACAGTTAAAGTTAAACAGCTACAGTTAAAAATATTTTACAGAAACTATCCACTTAATATATTTATATTTATAATATTTAAAAAGATAAATATTTAATTTTTCTTCAGTAATTTAATCACAAACATAACCAACTAAATAATTGACAAGTCTTTGTAAATTGACGTTATCTTTATGTCCAATAGATATAAAAATGCCTGGAGGTAAATTTTTAAAAATCCAAAAATCTAATTATCTTTAATTTAATCTATTCTTTAATCAAATAAAACGTAAAAATTTATTTAGTGACAGTTACTGTAATATATAACATATTTAGTTATGAAGAAATAAACTCGGATCATTTATGACGTTAAGCGATTATCAAGTTTACTTTTTTAAATTATACTTGGATAAAAAGTTAAAAAATTTTAATTAAATGGATAAATGTAAAGGTATAAAAATAATTTTGAATTATAAATAAATTTTTGTTTTTTAAAAGATCCATCTAAGAATAAAAAATTTAAACATAAATAATTATCTATTTATAGTTTTATTTATTTTCAGTCACTAAATTTATGTGAAAATTAATGTAGCAGATATTTAATAATTTTTTTAAGAAATAAATTAGTGCAAAAAAAATTGAGTTGTGCAAATTTAAAAAATAAAAAATGCAATTTTTGGCTGACATTAAAGTTAGCAGTCATTAGAGAATTTTTTTTAACAAAAAAGTTTGTTCCAAAAAATTATTTTAAAAAAATTGCATTTTTAATTTTTTTAAATTTCTACATGATATTTTTTTTTTTTTTTTTTTTTTTTTTTTTTTTT